GGTGGTGGAGTCACCATCCCTGGATGTATTTAAAGAGCGGGTAGATGAGGAACTTAAGGATATGGTTTAGGGGGTAGACAGGAGCGGTTGGACATGATGATCTCAGAGGGCTTTTCCAACCGAGCGATTCTGCGATTCTGTGATTCTATGTTCATTTTGGGTTTCAGCATCCTAAGTGTAATATTTTTGACTGGGAGCCAATTTATTTATTTATTTCTTTTAGTGATCCAGTGTTTTAGATTGCTATGCTCAAACTTTAAAGGGATGATTTTATTTTAATCCATTCTTAAATGTAAAGGCAAGTATCATATTCTTACGAAGTCGAAGACCAAGAAATTTCAGTAAACATTTAAGTGCAGCCAACTCTTCCTCAGTCAGAGACCTGTCTCTGCTAGTCAGAATTGCAGCACTGAGACTCCATAAGCAAAACCAAGAGTGAATGAAAACAAGCAAAATTTGTAACAGGAAGGATATCTTTTATTAGGTCAATTAATGCAGCTAAAAATAAGAAACAGACATACTTCTGTGGATGCAAACACTCTGGCATGCACAGAGATGAAACTGGATTTGATTTTTTGTTAAATAAACACCAATGCGTGCGTTAAAATGAACAGAAAAAAGGGATGGCTACTAGCAGATGGGGCAGGTTTTTGAAAATTCTTTTTGCCAAAGTGCTCTTAGGATCATGGGTGAAGAGACTTGCCCATGGCAGTCTTTGAATTGCCTGGGTAATTTTAACAGTTGTTCCTTTCCATTGAAAACTTGCTGAGTAGTAGCTAAACATTTTAGGGGAACAAGCGCTGGGGAATGATCTACTGAGAAATGAAAGTAGCCCAGAAACAAGATGTGGTGGTTTTTAAGAGGTTCCTCCCTTCCTCCCCCCTTAAACCACACACAAAAACACATCCTAGGTGGTCGAGGAGGCATTGCCTAGAAGCACAAAGTGCCTGAATTGCACATGTGATTGTTACACTGGGATAAAAGCTGGAGTCGGGACAAGGGCAGATCCCACAGCTTCAGTATTTGTACTCTTTGAAAAGCCAATTTGGCAAGCAGCATAACAAGAGCCTAACAAGTGGATGGACATATGGGGAGGCAAAATAATTGTGCATTAGGAAGACTGTGCAGATGTGAGCTGAAGTAAGGGCGTAACTCCATATGGCACATTGCTGACCTTCAGTTGGTGCCTGAATGACAGTACGCAGTGTGGGTCGCACCATCTGAGGGATGCTGTACTGGGAGCGGGGCTGAAACCAGACAGAACTGGCTTTACACAGATCATCTGCTTCCTAGAAAACAATAAAGCAGCTACGGACAGCTGTTGTGCCTGAGATCATCATGGTATTACTGGACCTTGCAACTCTTAACACCCTAAACACTTAGTGTATATCATGCTTTAGGGAAAAAAATACTGTTACCATTACTCAGATGGTGGTGGCTTTTAATCCCTGTTAATGCCCTGTGCAGAGAGAGCACAGGTGAGTGTGCAGGGTACCTAGTTTCTGTCCATCTTCTCTGGGGTGTAAAAGCCTTTATATGCCTTTGGTGAGGAAACTACTTCATCCTTTCAAGCACAGGCTATTAAGAATCCTGTGTTTAGAATGTTTATTTGAGAAACACAATGATTTTTTCTTCTATTAACTAACCCCAGAGGGATATACATATTTGGTAGAATAGCTGTGGTGCTGTGTTTTTAGGGAAATGTGATGAGTGGAGGGCTTAACACTTCAACCTATAAATCCTTTGATGTACTACACTTGATAAGTCTAAGCTATGACTTACGATATATTATCATTTGTTCCTTCCTTTCCCTTTTGTCTGTTAATCCTAACACCGGCTAAGAGTTCAGCTTCATTTTATCAATGGCTGCTTGAACTGCTCAGGAGGATTTGCTTCAGTATTCACCAGAAGTCTTTGATACATGAGATTGTAGGCTAACACCAATAATCTTTTGTGAGGAAGTGTCACAATACATACATCGATCATCCAAGCCTCTATCTGTCAGACTCTCCCAACGCAACCGTATTTTTTCATAACACAATGCGGCGCATGGCCTTTAAATTACCCATCTGTCTGACAAATCAGTGAGTGTGGCAGAAACTGGCAGCAGTTTGACGTCGCCTATCACTTTAACTGAAGTGAAAGTAATGCAAACAGATTTATGGGATCCCCTTTGATTATAGACCATGAATATATTTGGAATTGATGTTTGGGAGAGAGACATAACAGAGAAGCAGGAAAGGCTTGTATGCAAAAGCACTGGTATTGTGTTTGCAGCTTTGCATTTAATATGAGGGAGATTGTTCTTCATTTTTTCCCTCCGCATATGTTGCATCTCAACACCTCTGACTTTTTTTTTTCCTGAGTGATTATTTAGCTGTCATAAATTCATAATTTTATCAAGGTGGAGTTTTCTTAAATGTATTTGCTGTACAGCTATCATACATATCTGTGTGTTCACCACATAGCAATAAATATTGCTGAATTTCCAAGTGTGCTCTGAATACAATAAAGCCCAGCAGAATGCAAATGGCAGTTGCAAGCTGACAAGGATGGCTGCTCACTGCAGTGCTGGTGAGGACTTGAGTTCTCTGATGGAGAGAACTGACTTAGGGTTTTTCTGATCCAATGGTTTATCTTTGTGGCAGAAGTAACCAAGACCTTGGCTTTTGCCCTTTGATATCTCCCTGCAGAGGCTCTGACCCTAGAACAGTATTGCCTTAAACTTGGTTCATAGCCAAAGCCTGTTATAACAAGCCTGCTTTTTTAAAAAGGGGATATTGTCCTACTTATTGAGGCTGTTGTTTAAATGTAGTGGTGAATTTGTGATGGTGAAAGCCGGGGCTGAGAACTACGTAGTATGTCTCATGTACAGGCAACGACACACCCATTCAAACAGCTTTTGGCTGCAGCTGAGCTCTTGAAGCCCTGAGATGTCCAATCCAAGTAAGTGGCAGGGTGGTACCCTTTGGGCATTACTACATTTGTTGAATCATTTTCTGAGTTCTCTGGAGCTTACAGTAACTTCTCTTAATACTCTGCTTGGCTTTCTTCAGAGAAGCCATAGACTGAAGTTATTCCCTTATTTTTAAAGGAATAGTTTTCATGAATGAAGGTGCAGGTATTGGGAGTCACTCAACAAAATAGATAGTTGGGTTTCAGCTCTGATGTCTTTTACCTGGGTTCCAGGGGAATGTGTGATTTGTGGGGTTGCTGCAGGAACTCAGCCTATTCTCTTAACACCTTCATAGTTTCCTCATGCCAGGCAGTACTGAGCTAGCAGCTATCTGTCGCTGGTGTGGGTTCTTGTATTCCCTTGTTATCACAGCTATTGGTAGCTGTGATCATGATCTACAGCTGCTTAACTCTGAGAAAAGCTTTTCTAAATCTGGTGTCCTTCTCCAGAATTTTGCTTGGAGGATGTTGGCGTAACCTGGAGCTGAATTTGGTTTGTTGATTCCAGTATACAGCCTAAACATCTGCAGCTCTGTGGTCTTTCAAAACAATGGAGGGAAGAAGCCTTCTGGGGTAGATATTTTCTAAACAAACCAAATAGTTTTTTTTACTTTTCCCTCAGATAGCATATGCCTTGGAAAAAGAGAAACAGGTAACATTTTCCTCTGTGCTAAACTGTAGAGGCCATTTTCATTAGGATGATTACTACATGGAACAAAACAGGCCTGCTGCGCAAAGGAAAAGGTGCTGGTAAATGGACTTCATCACTGATGGGATGGGTACTTTCCAGGCCACACTTACTTATTTGGAAAACATATCCCAGCTCCTGTAAATGGGCTGTTGGCAGCACATTTCAGGCAGTTTTTATCTCCAGCCTTTGCACATGATGATGATGAGAGGCCTATATGACTTCCAGACTAAGGCTTCTGCCAAGCTTGTGGCAGCTGGGTTCTTGCATAAGCATCTCCTCCCACCTCCCTAGGTGAGGAGGCGGAGACAGTGATGCTGAGTGCTTCATCTCGTCACACAAGGTTGTGTCTGCAGGATTTCATGAGGTCTCTACAAAAATAGTGGTGCAGTTTGTAACAAAACTTACAGACCATGGGGAGGAATAAGTACAGCAGAGATCTTGGTGTCTGACTGATGTTGCCATGTAGGTTTGGAAGTGGCCAGGAGCCTCTGACTGCTCCTCACAGGGAAGGCTAGGTTGTCTTTAGGGTCTGTCTGTCTCTCTTTCTCTATGGAACTTGGTTAATGGGAACCTATGCAAAGCTTTGTTTTGGCTAAAGGAAACCCTGACATATTTGCATTTTGCCCCTAGCAGACCAGAACGTCCCCAGTGCTTGCTGTTTTTTCAAACTCAAGCTACTCCTGTTTTAAAATCTCCATCCACAGTTCTCCCACCAGGTCTTGCCTGCCTGCATCCCAAATCCATGCTGGAAACACACTCACTGGAAAGCCCTTTGTTCAAATTCCACACCTTGTTGGTGTTTGTGAGGGAAACCATATCTACATTTGAAACACAGAAGACAGATCTACTCTCCCAGTGTAGTGTTCAAAGCACGGACACCAGCTAGGCTAGCATCACAGTGAAAAGGAGAGCTCCGGATGGTGTCTTTGCTAAGGTTGTTCCTCTGGTATGATCCTGTCTCTGCTATGCGGTTTTTTTCAAGCCCAGTTTTGTTAGTCAGAGATCTCACCAAGGCAGGCATTACTTTGGTGGAGCTGTGGCTTTAGGCATGTTCTGCGTAGCTCTAGTAGCAGAGGGCACATGTGAGCAAAGTCACACTGGTGTCCCTTTTGGTTTAAACCAGTCCTAGGCTATTCTCTGTAGGTAGGAACTCTGAAAAGCAAGGAAAGCATTTGTTTCTAGTGCTGACCCTCAGTACAGCATGGTCTGAATGTCATGTCCAGGACCCAGTGAATGATACTGGATGGAGATCTCTAAGTGCAGCCTGGCCCCTCTGTTTATAGTACCTTTGGCTAGGTGCTGATAGTTAAAACACCTGCTTTTTTATGAATAATGGATTTTTCTTTACCTCTAGGGACGATGCATAAACTTCACTCGTGTGAAATCAGATGGAACCTCTGCCCCTTACAGCCCACCGCTGAAGCTGCCGCGGCGCGACAATGTTCCTCTCAACAACGCTCCAAGGAATCCTTCTCCTCCTGTGTCTCTGCAGCCCCCTTCCAGGCAGCCACCTCCTGGACCACCCCCCTCCCGAGCCCCCCCTGGACCTCCTCCTTCACGTCCACCCCCACAGCCTATGGCTTAGAGTGCAGCAAAACCCTGATTGACCAAACATGTCTCTTTGCTGAACACGGCATATTTATTGAGTATTGGTTTACAGTTAAAGATATCAGAATTTGTTGCTGGTCAGCAAAAAAAAAAAGAAGAAAAAGAATTGTCAAGTGTCAATTTTATATATATTTATACCACACGTGCTGAGTAAACGTTCAGTGGATAGATTCAGAGCTATGGGGTATAGAAACAAACCAAAATGATCATCTAGATACAGTAGCAGCTTTTGTATGTATACATTTATATACATATGGCATTCATCTGGCTTGGTACGTCAGATCATTCATTAATAACTTTACCCGGTACAAGTGCATCAGTTGTTTTGATAGCTGCCACCTGCAAGTTAGTTAAACATAGTTCATTGAGGAATTTGCTTTCTTTTCCCCAACAGTACTGCATCCAGATGTTACATGGAACAAAAATTGCAAAGATAACTTTCTGCCTTTGGTTCTGCAGGTGGAATTTCCATGAAAGTTTATAAGGAGGCTATACTAAGAATGGAGTAAAATGGGACTATGTGCCAATAATCTAGCAACAGTAATCTAGCATAGAAGAGAGGTATCTCTTTCTTCTGAGAAAATCAGTTTTGAACGTGCCATCTCTACATATGTTTAGACTTGGTTGCATGGGATAGCCACTGAAGGCCAGATACTGGTTCTAGAAATCCAAACCTTGAACAAGACCTGGGTTCAGATTTGTCCAAAGTTCAGAGGAATTTTGAGAAAAATGTTTTTACTAGATGTTTAGTTTTCATTTACAGAAAATGTGGTCAAAAATGGAGCAAATATACATGCAATTTGAGCATGAATGCTCTACCATACAAACAGCATGTGCTATTTTGATAGCAGCATTGAGGGACTGATTGCATTGCTATTTAATTAGATACATTTCCTTTTGACCTTACTACCAAGCAGAACTAGATCCCCTTGTGGTTCAAACATTAATTCCTATATGGGTAGCTCTTTCTTTAGACAGCCCAGATCCCACTAATGTGTAACCTTGCAGTCTACCTGTGCTTGAGAGGCATGGCATGATGTGTACGAGCTTTTATCCCTGTTTTGTATAATGTTTGGCTAGAGGATTTCCCAAAACTTGTGACTGCTCACCCCTGACCTCAATTCTGTGTGTCACCAGACAGTGATGTGAACACCTACACAGAGGTGGGAATTTATGACGCGGGACTGCGGGACAGCCCATGAATAGTGTTCACTAAGCAACACTTGAGTGGGTTGTGCCCAGATCATTCCCTAGTGAATCAAAATAACACCTGAGCTTGCTTTTTCTCCACCTCTACCTATTATATTTATTGGGAGAGGGTGGCTGCAAATCCCTATGCTGGTTCGCTTTGGCACTGGCTGTGTTATTAGGATAGTTGTAGAAATAATGTTTATGTTGCATTATGACACAGCATATATCTATCTCTCCATCTATGTGTAGGTGTGGGTGTGTAGCACATCACAGTAGTTATTGGCACGTCAGTCCAAGATAAAACACTAACTGCATCGTGCAGTACCTCCAGAGTTAAGGCCTCTGTGCAGTTGTTACAGGCATATAAAGGTGCACTGGTACAGATAGAAATCAGACTTACTATTTCCAGTGGAAGTTCCACTTGCAGAACACCACACCAAGCTCTCATTGGTCTATGCTGATCACTGCGACATGCCGTGTGTATGCAGCTGAGGCTGTCAAAGATAAACTCAGAAGAACCACAGAGCCTCCTTCTCCTCTTGCACTGCTCTGCTCTCTAGAGTTATGCTCTTACCTCATGTACATTGGTGCAGGTAGTGGAATCACACTCGTGGGTGCCAGCTGGCCTTGGAGCTGTTCCTAACTTAGACCTGAGCCAGCAAAGCACTTCTGCGTGCATTAAAATGTCCTGCAGGTCAAAAAGAACATCCTTATGCCCAAGTACTTTGCTAACCTGTGACTTCATTGTGATCAGAAAGGAGAATTAGGATGCACTCAACCCTATCCTCATTCATTTTAGTCTCTTGTATAGGATCTGCATAATTTGCTTCATAAGAATGGATTTGTTTGGAGGAGAGAGAAGTGTGTGTATATGTGTGTGAGTGTGTCTGTTTGTGTGTGGGAACTCTGGAGGTTTTTGTTTGGTTTCTCTTCCTTTATAAAAGTTGCTCAGAGAGTAGCACTCCTATGAATAGAAAGGCCTTTTGCAACCAGTGCAACACAGAGTCATCACTTGTCTCCATTTCTTTCAGTTGAAAGGTGAAACAGAAACATGTCCAGTTTTCCACTGCAGTTCTGGTGAAGCCCCACTTTTGACACCAGTGAAAGGTGACTGCAGTGATGGGGTAGGGACCTGGATGTGGGGGAAGGTGCTTTACAAGCAGAGATCATTGGCTGACATTGTTTTGGTCATATGGAAGCCTGTGGAAATAAACTTGCTGGGTCTAAAACCAGTGGTAATATGTATGTAAAGTTCAGCCAAACAGCCTCTCATGTTAGCTATGAATAACTAGCCAAAATAATGCTAACCAGGAATTGAAATGGGAAAGTAAAACCAGTTTCCCTGTCAGAACAAAACATGGCATTTGAGGTTTAGCTGCTTGGAGTGGGGCAGACCACTGCTCTGTAGATGTTGAGCCTCTTATCAGTAGGCAGTTATGAGATTGAAACAATGGTGGAGCTCACAAATGACATAATAATAAATGGGAAAACTTGCTTACGGAATTACTATGTGTTAATGGAGTTGAACTGATGGGCCAGGAGTAAACTTTAGCTAATGAAAAAGCCTAGGAGCCAGATTTTGTGTTGTATTGCACCTGTACAGCTCTTGAGAGGGGTCAGTATTGTTGCTGCAGATTTGCATTGATGTTAATGTTGGTAGAATTTGACTCACTTCTAGTGAGAACAGAGGTGTTGGCTTAGGCTTCTCACAGTCACACATCCAACATGCCTGCTTTTTGCAGCTGAGGGGAATATTCTTTGCTGGAATAGCCAGTTTTGTGGAGATAACAGATACTATCAATTTCTGTATAACTTGCAAACGCAGCAAGGGTAGGAGTGGTTTGGGCTTCCAGGTGATCAGATCCATATATGATAAAGCAGGAAGCACCATGAATTTGAAAATTAGATTCAGCATAAATGCAGTTTCCAGCATTTTCACTATATAGAATCAAGTATTTGATGTGTAACTCAAGTTCTGGCTGCAGCTTCTGTGATAGGAGTAGTGCAGGTTTAGTTTGCCAGTAAAGCAGGAAGAAGAGAAGGTGAGCCTGAAGTTGATAGCAACTGAGTTGCCTTTGCAAAGGTAGCAGCACTGGCTACAGAAATGCCTTTTGGTTGTGTAGAAATGTACCCAATTGCAGTGATCTCAGGCACTATAATGATGCAGTAGGAGAAACTGATTGCTATTTTACCGTCTGCTGAGCTCAAGCCTTACCTGGTGTAAATCAAAATAGGCCAACTGAAATCAAGGCAGTAATGCTGGTGTCTATCAGCTGAGAGCTGGCTCAAAATAAATGAAGGGACAAAATCCCTCTAACTGGCTTGATATTTCAATGTTTGTTTTGGTGTAGTCACATATCAGTTGCAATTACAGTGGTTACACTGCTAAGAAATGTTCTCATGTGGGATGATTCCCCTGTATTTTCCAGCATATAGGATCATTTGAAAGGTGAGTATCTAATGCTTCCCCAAATCTGAGAGAAAAATATAGATTCGGGGAACCTTTAGCTCACACTTAGCACAGATGTGAAATGGCACAAGGTGCAAAGCAGCAGGAAGGGAAACCCCAGGTATTTAAAGCTGATGCAGAACCACATTGATCAAAGTGTATTTATGGCCATCTTTCAACCTTAGTGAATGTATTGCCATCTGTGGGAGTAGCATGCAGAGCAGACGGTCCTAAATGTAAAAAGGGGGGGGGGGAAGAAAGGAAAAGAATCAGCTCCTCATCTGAATGAGCGAGCATAACAATGAATGACAGTATTTCATGAACTGTACCAGTTCAAATGCATGTGCACCTGGTGCTCCTAATGCTTTTTACTTCTGTTGGTCTTTAGACAACATGATCAGTAATATGCTTTTTCTCTTTAATTGTTTGCTGGTTTTTATTGCTGTTACGTTGTTTTGTTTTGTTTTGTTTTTAAAAAAAAATACATTTCACTGAGAAAACAGCCCTACTTCTGTAAATATAGAGTTTAATTTGGAGGAGACAGCACACTTCTGGATGTTACTGCTGGACAGTTATTTATTAAAAGGGGCTTAAGGTGAATAAATACAGGTGGCTCAGGATACATGCATGCAAGTGTGATAATGCAGTATAGCATTTTCAGTTCTCTGTAGTTTTTGGGGAAGGGGAATTTTTGGGTCATCCTCGTTTGTTTAGAAGTTTGTTACTGATCTGATATTTTTGAATAATGCATTAGAGATTCCTAACATATAACAGTGCTTAAACAGATGTGTAGATTATGATAGACTTTTCATTTGGGGGGGAGGGGGTAGTGAAGGAGAAATGTTTTAGTTTTTAAGGGAAACAATGTACTGTACTAAACTTATTTTAGGAAAAGATGTGTGTTTTCAGAAACAGTGGGGATGTGGGCTGATAAGACAGCCGGGGCATGGAGATGAGGGACAGAGGAAGCAGTTTGTGGGAAAAAGACGTTTTACATGGGGGTATGGATTTGTTACTGGTACATGTGGTACAAATTTCTGTAACTGACATGCTGCTTCCACGTTATGATCATATAACCTTTATGCATTTTATGTGCCTGCTCCATTTTTCTGAGAAAACCTTGCAAATGTAATGCCTGCATGCAAATGTGGGAGATGTAGCCAAAGTCTTATAATCCAACATAATGTAGCCTTAATGGATTCAAAATCAACAATAAAAGTGCTTACTGGTTAAACACTACAGAGAATTTCATTGCAGGGTCATTTTAAGAGGGGATAAACTTGTCCGTACTTGGTTTCTAATCTGCTCAGCCATCTAATGGTGAGGAGGAGAACATG